AGAGAAGTAAGTACAAAGACCCCTCTCTTTTTTAGCTATATGAAACTGGGGACATATTAAACAATGTCACTTAGCATGATCTCCAGGCTGGACTTAGGATTAAGCCTTGGAAAAACCACAGGAAAGGAATTGAAGAGAGTATGAAAGAAAAGAAACAGTTCAACAGTGGCCTAGCACGTGGCAAAGGGTCTGGCTCATAAATATGAGTGAAATGAATGAATGAAGAAACAAAGAAAAACTGCAGCTGACTGAAAGGCTGATTAATGTGCTCAGCTATTGCACATTAAACTGAGAAATGAGGCCAGGTACCCATAAATGACCTCACTGTAGCCAAGTGGTACAATACGTTTCCTCAGTTGGTAGTGAATTTATATTTGGGCTGACCTTGAATTATATTCATTAAAGTTCTATTGTGGAGAAATGAGGCACAAAGAGAAGAAAACGGTGAGGGATGTGGTCTTTGGAGAATAGACTCCTGAATTTGGGAGCACTGGAGACAACAAGGTCCTGACACAGGATATGTGAAGAGTTTTGCTTGGGGTTTTAGATGAAAAATTCCTCCTACTTCTCAACAAACAATTTATTTATCAAAATAGCAACTCAAGTTTACTGTGTACATTCTTGTGATAGGCACAGGGGAGGCTGCTGTTCAGTTCAGTCGCTCAGTCGTGTCCGACTCTCTGCGACCCCATGAACCACAGCACGCCAGGCCTCCCTGTCCATCACCAACTCCCGAAGTTTATCCAAACTCGTGTCCATCGAGTCGGTGATGCCATCCAACCATCTCATCCTCTGTTGTCCCCTTCTCCTCCTGCCCCCAATCCCTCCAAGCATCAGGGTCTTTTCCAATGAGTCAACTCTTCGCATGACGTGGCCAAAGTACTGGAGTTTCAGCTTCAGCATCAGTCCTTCCAATGAACACCCAGGACTGATCTCCTTTAGGATAGACTGGATGGATCTCCTTGCAGTCCAAGGGACTCAATTCCTCAGAACAAAACTTGGAGAACTGTGTTATTATTCCTATCTCACAGATGAAGAAATAGAGGCTTGGTCTTGCTAACTGCATAATATTTCTAGTAAATGAATAAACGAGGACTCAAAAGGCATTCTGAGTCAAGATTTATGTTTCTGACTATTTTGACAAAACAAGATTTATGCTTTGATGTCACCATGCTTATATTCATTCAGAGATATTCACTGATATCTCTGAGTGTCTGCCTGGCTTATTTCCTCCTTGACAACTCTTCATATGTTATAACTAAATACGAAGAAATAATCAAAATGGCCCTGTTGATCTCCAAATGAAGAAAAATTACATGTGCAGGGAAAGACAATATTAGAATATAACTAGAAATAAGTTGCCATATTTTGACTCAAAATGCACCATTTAATCCATGGGAAAATATGATTTTCATAGAATATTATTCACTCAATAATAGTATTTAATATCTATTACATGACAGGCACTGTACTAGGCTAGGAATAAAGCTGAATAAACTACAACTAGGAATAAAGCTGTTGAAACAATATAGCCATGTATGTCACCTTATGGACTTCTGAAAGCTTTATCGTATAAAATACATTTAGGCAATAAGAAATGTCTATTAAAGTGGAAAAATTCTACTCATCTAAAACCAAACTTCCTCTTATTGATATTTAGTGGGAAAAAGTACAGATTTTATAACTCATGTTCTAGATGGTATCTGAAGAAATGAAGAGAGCAAGTATTTCGGGAAAATAATAACTAAAAGTGAAAAAAAAAATCACTCAATGCCTTGAAAGACCAGAAAACACTTTTGCTTCTCATATTCAGTGTAATCCTCACATGGAGGCTTCCTTAACAATAGAGGAGCAGCTAACATACACATTTTCAACCATACTCTGAAAATTACTCTGTTGAGTCACTCACATTTTATCACAAATATGCCTTTTAAATGTGGTGCTAGAGAAGACTCTTGATATTCCCCTAGACAGCAAGGAGATCAAACCAGTCAATTCTAAAGGAAATCAACCCTAAATATTTATGGAAGGACTGATGCTAAAGTTCCAATATTTTAGCCACCTGATGTGAAGAGCCTCATTGGAAAAGACTCTAGTGCTGGGAACGATTGCAGGCAGGAGGAGAAGTGGGTAACAGAGGATGAGATGGTTGGAAGGCATCACTGACTCAATGGACATGAGTTTAAGTAAACTCTGAGAGATAGTGAAGGACAGGGAAGCCTGGCGTGCTGCAGTCCATGCAGTCGCAAAGAGGCGGACATGACTTAGGCACTGAAAAACAACATCAAATGTCCTTTAACATTTGGGTTTTAGCCATGCCAAGCTAGTAATGTAACATTGTAGCGCCTATCTACATCTGAAAGAACCAAAAGGCAGGGAAGGTAAGTGAACTGGGCTGAACTGTAGCCCCTGCAAAAGGTATGTCTAAGTTCTAACATGTGAATAAAACCTTAATTAGAAAAAGGGTCTTTGCAGGATATATAGTAAAAGAAAGGATCTTAAGATGAGTTCACCCTAGATTAACAACGTAGACTTTAAATTCAATGACAAATGTCCTTAAAAGAGAAGGCAGAGGAAGAGAAACAGTGGCACAAAGAGATGGCCATGGGGAGGGAGAGGGGAGACTGGAGTTACTACCAAAAGCCAAGGAACGCGTGAAGCCACCAGAAGCTGGAAGAGATGCAGAAAGATGCTCCTCTCGAGCCTTCAGAGGGAGCATGGCCTTGTGAACATCTTGATTTGGGACTTCTGGCCTCCAGAGTCATGGAACAACACAGTTCTCTTGTTTTAAACCACCAAGTTTGCAGTAATTAGTTATGGAGGCTCTAGGGAACTGATAACAGCAAGCGTTCCCAGGATGATAAAAGCAAACCACAGTACCTTCAATCTTTCATGAAAGCTCAGAGTCTGAGCACTCATCATCTGTCAGAGAAGACTCTCCAAGTTATTTGTACTTTTGATTTCTTCTCCTCAGAGATAATTAAATCTAGTCTGATTCTGTTTTAAACTCAGTGTTCCATTGGTTATAGACATTCCTAACTTCAAAATTAATCTAGTTTTAAACAAGCCAGCTGCCAAGTCAATAAAATCACCCCCTACAAGTGAATAACAACAGTGAAAGATTTACAAGAAGCAGCAAGAAGAAACTAAATCACACACAGGAATCCTTCAGCCTGAGGCACACCCACCCCAGATGAACCAGAAAGAATGTCAAAGCTGTGGAAGGTGGGAGAGAAAAAAACAGGAAGAGCAAGGAGACTGTTAGCACAGGACTCTGAAAAGAGCATTCTAAACTTTTAAAGTGCAAATGCAATTATTTCAATGTTCACCTCCTCCAACTGTTACAAGTAATACTTATTCCTTCTTCTTCTTTGAATTATAAAGGTGCTCAGTGTCAATATTACATATTTTACACCCAATTCCCTATATTTCTGCAATGCCAGTTATACAACTGTCTTCATAGCTAATTCAATAAGCCATTTAAGGGTAAAGATAATCTCCTATTTTCTTCTCTAACATCCTCAACTTCTTTTCAAGGCCAAATAAGAAGAGATATTTAAGAGATACTAATTGATCTATCTTTATATTCCTGTTATAGGTTTCTATTCTAATAACTACTTTGACTAATGAATACCAAAACATTGGCATGCCAGTTAATATCTAAAACATAGCCAGCATTCTCATATATGTGTGTCTATACAAACACTAACATGCCACAAAAATATCTGACTCTAAATCAATTCTGGAAAGAGCTTTCATCACATTTAGGTGTTCTAATAATATGTTAGATAATTGTTTTTCCCAGAGGAGAAGGAGAAAGAAGAAAATATCTCCCATGAAATGCACAATGTAGTGCTTGCATAAATAATATTAAACTCCAATGTTCCTGTCAAATGTCCAAATCTGATATATTACACATTGCATTGTATATAATTACCTATAAGCCTACCCTGGTTCAAGAATATGTCAAATACTTTTGGGAAAAAACATAACAATAATGTTAATTTAGCCTTTATCTGGTCTAGCCACTGTTCTAAAAGTCATTTATCAAATTTACATATTTATTTAACCATTAAATACTTATGGAGTAATTTCATGTGTCATCTTGAGTGGGCCAATGGGTATCTAGACATTTGGCCAAAATTTACTCTGGGTGTTGTGTGAGAGTGTTTTGGAAACACTCTGGTTGTTTGTGTGAGAGTGTTTCAAATGAAATGAACATTTGAATTGGTGGCCTGAGTAAAGCAGATTTACCTCCCTAAAGTGAGTGGGTCATCCTGTCACCTGAAGACCTGAAGAGAACAAAAAGATTAAGTGGGAGGAAACTCCTCCTTCCTGAGTGTTTGATCTGGGATGTTGGTTTTCTTCAGTCTCTGGACTCAGACTGAAACATCAGCTACTCTTGGGTCTCGAGTCTGCTACCTGTTAGACTAGGAAATACACCATCAGCTCTCTTGGTTCTCAGGATTTCAGACTCAAAATGAATTACACATAGGCATTCTTGGGCTTCCAGCTAGCCAACTGCAGATATTGGTATTTCTCAGCTTTCAGAATCATGGGAGCCAATTTCTTAACTATACATCTATTAAAAAATAAAATAAAAATTTAAATTCAAGCTTTGTGGGGGGACAGAAAAGGACATCTGCCTATAAAAGGCAGCACTAGCTATTTGATGAGGCAACAAATAAAAAGCTCTGATCACAGTCCTAGGATGGATTAAATGTTCACTAGATATTGGGTAAAAATAATGAATAAAGATATTGAGGTTAAGCTTTAGCATCAATTTAGTACTTTAATGCATATGTGCAAAAGTAATATTAAATCTGGCAGTCAAAAAAACCAACAATGTAATGGGGGAAATACAAGATGACCTGGCAGTCAGGTGTAAGAACAGGAGCATAGATGACCAGGAAATGAGCATTTACTAAGTGCCTAGTTTGCACCAAGCACTTCAAAGACAATACAGCTTCATCAGTCCATTGAATTCTCACAGCCACAATATGCAGCTGATATCTTCTAAGCAGCTTCTGTCTGGCAGACCTGTGTTTGTTGCTAGGAAGACAGTGGTGAGCAAAATTAGGAGTTTCCAGCCTTATGGAGGTCATAGTCACTAATTAGCTGGTGAGGACTGTGTATGAAGTGCTTACCTGGGCAAATTTTCCTGTAGAGGATCAGATAGTAAACATTTTAGGCTTTGTAGGTGGTGATCTCTTGCACCTATTCTACTTTCCATTTTAGCACAAAGGCAGCCTCAAACAATACGTAAATAAAGGAGCACTGCTCAGTTCTAATAAAAGCAGGAGGAGGCAGGGTGTACTCTGTAGATCCCTGGATAGCAGAAGAAGCAACTAGCTCTCACTGCAGGGGAATTAAGAAGGATTTCAATAAAGAAAGGAAAGGTGTGAAGTGAGCTGTGCTTTGAAGAAACATTAGACTCCCTAGAAAGGCCAGAAGTGGAAAGGGGACTCTGGGTCTCAGGAACAGACTATGCAAAGACACGGAAGCATTAAAGAACACGGCTGACTGGGGAAAAGTGAGGAACCATGAGAACTGGGAGACCAGGGTCAGAGAAAAAGGAAAATTATAAAAAGGGTTTTTGTACATAGCTCTGTGGCGGTTAGAAGCAAAGTTCATATTATCTTTCAGTGTTTCGAAAGGTCAAGCTGCATTTCTCCTCCCAAAGCTAAATGATAACATGATGCAGTTCAAAAGCTAGTCATATCAAATTGCCATCTAATCATTTAATTAAAGCCCCATGCTGGCACCAGCCATCCTCAGGGCCCATTTTTCATTTGGGCACATTTCATTACACTTTTCAAAGCAAATTTGCCTTTTCAAAGGCGAAAAATGCAAATGACTAGGTTTGAAAGGAAATGCATAACACTCTGCATAATGACAGAGATTTTCTTGGAAAGCAGTAATGCACAGAAAGAGCTATCTTTAGGGACTGAGGATGGCTTATCAGCCCTATAGGAACTCTACATGATATTTCATTACAGCACCAGGATGCAAACGGAAGTGAAATACCAAATACACAAAAACTAAACAGCCATCCCCAGTCTTCTTTTTCAGCATCACTGAAGGCACATTTTGAAACAAGATGCAGCCTTTGGACCAGTAAGACTAAGGCAGGCATTGATAAATGGAGGACATTTATATTGTAGCCAAGAAAATGATGAAAAAACTAGGAGGAACTGACCTGTTCAAAGACAATAATAGGAACACCTAAAGGCCAATTAACATAAAGCGATAGTGGGCAAACTCAAGTACACTCAAAAAAATTCTCAGGAGTAAGAAAACATCCACTTTGAGGCAGTAAAATGCATGCTGGTGGTATTCACATAAGGGAATGAAAGTGACCTTAACCACATAAATCAGCATCTTCCTCTTCGGTGCGGGGAAACTCTCAGACCCACTGCTCCCCAATTACTGTGTCTTTTACCTTGAAAGATGAAGCTGCAGCACAAATTTTACGAATCCGCAGATCCCAAAGTGAAAAGCAATTAGTTCAAAGAAGAGCAAGTGGCAAAAAATGAACACCCGTTAATTCATTCTTCACCATCAAGGAGAAAAGGAAAGCTTAACTTTAGGCTGCCAGATAGACCCTTTCTCCCCATGAAAGCGCCACCAGCATCTGGAGCAGCAGCATCCACTGTGAAGTGGAGAGTCTGGATAAAGTTCAGGGCTGCAGACTATTGCGTTTCATGGCCAGAGCATATGTGGATATTTCAAGCAAGAGCTTCTGATCAGGGAGGTTCACTAGTACTTGAATCATGGCTGGTTAGCTCAGCCAAAGCCTCCATCAAGAGGAAGCTGAAGACCTCATTCTATTACTTATATAGAAAGGATGGCCATCCCCACCCAGAACCCCTACAGATTCAGGCATTCAGTTCAGAATACCAACCCAGCTTGGGGACATGGGGAAAAACTAAAGGGTGACAGGACTTTTGACATAGCCTGCCGTATGGTTCCTTATTTTTCCCATTTTCATTTTAATTACATTGAAATATAATATATACAGAAAAATGTACATATCATAAATGTATATCTTGACAAATTGTCATACAAACATACCTGTGTAGAAAATATTAGGCAAAATCATAACATTACCAGCACACAGAAATTGTCCTCATGCACTACTAGAATACCCACTATCCTTACTTCTAACAACACAGGATAGTTTTGCATGGTTTGTATTTCGTATAAATGGAATCATATAGTAGATTCCATAATGTTTGGATGATTTGGGCCCATATTAAGTATGTGAGATTCATTCATATCATTAGGTCTAGTTGTAGACTGTTGATTAGTAATTTCCATTATATGTATATACCACAACTTATGTATCTATTCCACTATGCATGGTTGCCTACATCATTTCAGTGCTTTGGGCTTTTAAGAACAATGCTTCCATGAAGATCCCATACATCTGTTTTGGTGAGCATGGCAGATTTTTATCTTGCCACTTTGATGTAAAAAAGAAAAGAAATGGCAGTGTGACATTTTGCCATGGCTGTGTCAAATTTGCAATATTAAAACATGGAATCTTCATCTTTTGCTTGGAGTAATAAACAAAGCAGATGTTCCTGACTCACATTCTTTCTCTGACCCTCCCACCACCTACAACTCTACCTCTGCCCCCTAGCATCCTATCTAGTTCAAGAGACTGAGATTGGGGAGATATGAACAGAAATGAACATTCAAGAAGCCCAGCAGTTTACATGCAATATTCATCACTCTCCTAAAATTAACAACAAAATATACTTTTAAAATCACATAAGGATTCCTTAAAGAAAAATTTTAAGTGAGAAATCATCCTGCCTCCAGCACAGGAATCAATAATTATAAGAGAATCTATTTTTGAAGTGTATCAGGTAGCAGCAGTCATTGAAAGTTATATAAAACTCATTATAATTCAAGCTTCAGATGGGAAAGGCTATGGAGGTAGAAAGGAAAGAAAAATTCTGTCTGCCAGGAGTGGGTTCAAGCAACTGGAAGTCTAGAAGGCTGTGGGGCAGGGAAATGTAGCTGGCATTCGGGAAAGCCTTCCTAGCAAGATTTTTCTATTGCATGTTGCTAATCATATCACAAATTTCTCATCTATGTGACTGCAGTCATACTAACCTAAACCCTGGATTTAAGACATTGATTGATTTAATCCAAACACAGCAGTCCTTTTATTTACTTATTTATTTATTTTAAGGCCATAGTGATTGGTTCAGGGATGGCTTTAATCCACTTCTGAGCCAATCAGTGTAATTCCTTCTTTTGATCTCAGACATTAGGTTGAGGGCATTAGGATCTACAACCAAAGACAGTTCAGTCATTGTGAGACTCAGTCTTTTTTGACAAGACAAAAACATAGACTCTATTGAGTCATCCTTTCTGGACTAGGTGGTGTGAAATAGCAAGTCTGGAGGAAAAAAGCAGGATATGGCAGAAGGGGCATGAATTATATAGACCTCAAAAACCTTAAGACCTCCTTAATGCATAGGACATGTACTAGAGAGCTTCCAATAATATCTTTTTGTCCTAAATGAAACTGTACGGAAAGTGAGAGTAATTCCTCTATGTTTCTCATGTGAGCTCATGGATCCTCTTTTTAAAATATTCAGATTCAAACTGGAATTTCTAGTGGGGCAACCAAGACTTTCAAAGGTGAAGTAAGTGATGTTTGATCTGGACCTGAAAACATATGAAGCATTCAGTGGATAGAGTTGACATTAAACTCTGTTCCCAGAGCAAGCACAATAGGAATGAAGATGTCAGAAGTGTCTGTGGTCAAGCGCCTAGACTAGAAAGGCCTCATCGCAGACTGGGAGGTAGTACTATGAAAGGCTTAGGACAGGTCAGAGATCAACAAGCTTTTTCTGTAAAGAGCCAGATGGTAAATATTTTGTTTTGCAATCCAGATTTCTGTCACAACTACTTGGCTCTGCTGTTGTAACATGAAACCAGCCATAGACAGTATGTAGACAAATAGGCATGGCTATGTTCCAATAAAGCTTCATCTATGGACACTGAGATTTGAATTTCATATAACTGCCATATACCACAAAATATTGTACTGATTTTGACTTTTTCAATCCTTGAAAAGTGGAAAAAAACATTCTTAGCTTATGGGCCATAATCTGCTGACCACTGAGACAGAGTGAGCACAAAATATCTACATTCATACTCTTTCTCCACCATATGGAAGTTACATGCATGTGTGCTACATCCCTTCAGCTATGTCCAACTCTTTGAGACCCCATGGACTGTAGCCTGCCACACTCCTCTATACATGGGATTCTCCAGGCAAGAATGCTGGAAAAGATCCCTCCTTCCCCAAGAGATCTTCCCAACCTAGGGATCAAACCTGTGTCTCATACCTCTTGCTTTGGCAGGCTGGTTCTTTACCACTAGCGCCACCTAGGAAGCCCTGGAAGCTACATACCATCAGACAAATTACTACTTCATCTCTCTAAATATCAGTTGCTCCACAGATAGACAAGGGATCATTATAGTGCCTAACTCATAGTTTTTTTACAAAAATTAAATAATCTAATCCACAGAGAAATGTTTAGCAATGTGTCTGATACATAGCACCCAATAAAGTCTAGGTATCTTTAGGAAGATCCTTGGATGTGAGGCTACATATCTTAGTAAGAGAAAGTCATCAATGTTTTCTGCCTTTGGAACTTCACAAAGGCACCCGTCACAAGGACAGGTTAAAAAGAGGAGAACCTTTTTTAAACTGACCTAATGTGTACCATCAATCTAGCTTAGGACATTCAGATGTTTATCAGCATCTTGCTTTTCATTTAAGCAGCATTCAGTGTTTTAAAAAGAAGTCAAGATTTTTTGTTGTTTTTGAGAAATCATGCTCTCAGTTCCATGTAATGAACTTCTTTAGAAACAAATTTTTTCAGAGACTCAGCTGAGCTAATAAAAATTTTAAAACACACGGTCACTTCTGGTTTGAACTGCATTTGTCGGTTTTGATAATTTATTCATTGACTAATTAGTTCAGCCAAATCTTATAGACTGTGTCTCTTTCTACAAGCCCAGATGGTACTCCATCACA